TATCTGGTCTTTGTTTAGGTGAGGACAAGGTTCAGGGATTCTTTGTGTTAAGGGCAGGTTAGGTCTGATAAATGGTGTTGCTTGATTGATGCTTTATCTTGGATTGTTAGTATTTCCAGTCAAGACCAGACTGACCTCCAGAGCACCAGACATGCATTGTGCAGTCAGTGCAATAAGAGTCAAAGGTTATTTCCTTTGAACTTTGGCCATCAGTTAACATTAACTGTCAGACACCTGTCATTTATCCTTTATCAGCCCTTTGCATGTCTGGATTATCATCAATTTATCAACCCTACAGATTTTCAGAGCTAAGAGAGAAGAGAATATAATTACATTTTTTCTGAAACAAACTTTATTGGTCGGATTTGAATCTAAAATTCATATATAATATTTCTGCCTTTCTTATTTAGGACAACACATATGAAGGATACATGAACATTGAGTAGATAGCAGCAAGCATATTCAATTTTGCCTTTCAGATGCTAATGCACTGTTATTATTTCATGAACTTCATTACTAAAAAAAAACATCCAGAAGTAATTACCAGACAAACCTAATAGTACAAACTGTACTGTAATGACAAAATATCAAACCTGAACTCACCAAACACTGAGAACTGAACCATGTGGGATTTACTTGTCTTTGTTAGTCACTGTTCAGGCTTCAGTTAAAACTTGTTAAACTCTAAACGGTTTCTCAGTTGAGACAAGTTATTGCAGAAAGCAAAATATATTTAAAGTATCAGTGCTTAAAGTAGTAATTACAAACCAGAACAGCAATATGTTGTATATTATACTATTGGTTTATTATTACTGGTGTATTCATGTGTAAGTGACATTTTAGTGTTGAGTTTGGTCAAGATCATGCTGATAAATACAGTGCTAGCAAAATAGAGTTACAATATTCCAGAAGCACAAAATGTGAATAACAGACAATTATAGTTTCCTCCTCATTGTGCCTGTTGGGTTTTGGAAATATGTAAAACAAATAATTTTTTCTGCCCTTAGAAATCCAATCATCACTGCTCTGATCTGAGGCAGGTTTAGGCCGTAAACTAGAGGGTTAATGATGGGAGGGATGATCAGAAACTCCAGAGATAAAGCAATAACTACAGATGGATTTACTTCATCAACCTTATACAAACTCAGTAAAATCTCACAGAACACTGAGATGCAATAGTTTCCAAAGATCACTATGTGGGGCAGGCAGGTCTGTAAACTTCTCCTGCAGACAAGCAGAATGCGCAGGTAGGTGTACAGGACAAAGGACATGGGGATGAAGAATGATGCCACATGCAAAAGTTTCCAAAGGTCACTATGTGGGGCAGGCAGGTCTGTAAGGCCTTTCCTCTGAATTCAGATGAACTTTTTCTGCACACATGCAGAATGCGCAGGTAGGTGTACAGGACAAAGGACATGGGGATGAGGATTGCTTCCACAACAACAAACTGACCCATGATGTTGATCACAGATGTGTCCTCACATGAGAGCTGAAATACAGACCAGTTGGTACAAATAATCTTGTACAGTTTGTTTCCACACAAAGGCAAATTAATAGCCAGATAGAAAAAGTAACATAAACCGCACACAGTGTACAGCACAGCCAGAATCAAAAGCAGCAGAACCGTCCTAAATGTCATTTTACTGTGATAGTGTAAAGGCTGGCAAATAGCAACAAACCTGTCATAAGCCATGACTGTGAGGAGAGTCACCTCATGTCCTACGTAAGTATTAATAACGTACATCTGAATAAAACAGAACAGACGTGAGATGAAATGAGTGTCGGACAGAAGGTCCATCAGGAACCTGGGGAAGAAACCAGTCGAACCATACAGAGAGTTTAAACACAGAGAGCAGATGAAAATATACATGGGCTGATGCAGAGGGTTCTCCAGGCAGACTGACAGAACAATGACAAGATTAGCAGAGATTATAGTCATGTAGATCAACAGAGAGAGGCTGAAGAAAAGATATCTGAGGGGCCCATAGTCTGCAAACACAGTGAACTGAAAATAGGAGGGAGTCAGGCTGTTGTTGCTCGTCATGTTTGCACAGCTGCAAGTTGAGACAGATGTGATTTAAAAATGCAGATGAAAAGAAAACAGAATGAGAAGTAAAAATTTTCTATGTCAAAAATTTAGATCCAAAATACTTATATAAGCCTGTATTCTTCCATGCCTCATAAGCTACAAACCAAATGTCATGTGATGCACTGAAAAATTACATTACTAGCATGTACTAAATTCACATGCAGTCTGAAAATTCTCAGAACTGTTCAATATTCCAAGTATTGGAGTAAAGAGTGCAGAACACATCACAGTTATGAATGTTCACATGTAAAATCTGACATTCAACATCCAGTGCCTATATGCCCATTTCCAAACTAACACACTTCTCCATCATTCACTGATTGAATTGTTAAATCAGTCACTAAACATTTGTTTGAACTTCTTCTTCTTTTATGGCAGCATCACTTGTGTGCCTGTGAAGAACTGCACACAGCAGCCAAACAAATTAGTTATAAAGGCCTGTGATCTGTCTAAAAATTTAATCACTGAGTAAAGTGTCAATTCATGGACAGTGAGACCTTAGAGAGA